GCAACGAGTCCCTGTTCGACTTCCTGGGTGCCATCCCAGTCGCCCCCAAGTTTCTCCGCACGCTGGTCTGTCCATTTCTGCAGAAATTCTTCCATGCCGTTTACACCATCCTGTACAGCCTGGTTGGCGACATTTATGATATCGTCGAGGAGGAGTTGAGGAGAAAAACCCAGGGCCTCGCAGATCAGGAGAGGAGGGACACTCATTAACGCATGGTCACACACATTATGTCACGTTCATTTGATATCCAGGCGAGAGAAGATGATGGATGCCGGTCGTACATACACAAATAATGGATAATGGATGATTTCCTCTGCCATCTAGAGTATCATACACATACAAAATATATACCAGTTTTTACCACCTTGATGCCGAACTCTGCTACGTTGTGTAACCTAATCCGTCGGACGTAGCCTGCCCGCGCTTTCCCCCCTCTCAGCCTCCAAAACGCACCGGTTCGCTTCGAATTGTCATTTTAGATTGTCCCAGCCTCCTGGTAAAGCAACTCCCTGCACCATTTTATATTCCAAACCTGTACAACCTGCCAGTTTTCGAAGTCACCTCATGGTCGGTTTCGCTGGGGGTCCAAAAAGCAGTTGTGGAGAAAGTCGCGAACATTAGCTCAGGGAAACGGGACATTAGGACACTTGCGAGGACAATTAGTGCTGGTGTTCAATGAAGATCCTTGAAAGTGTGGCTCCGAGATAGGAGAGTACTCTGCCAAAGTAACTCTGCTGAACCACCATTGGCGGAAGCAGAGCAGATGTGGTTTCCAGCAGCACAGAGGAAGATGTTTTGGAAGTGAGTGTCATCCAATCTTATGCCTGAGCCGATCCTTGAGCTCACTGTGACCATTGTAAAATCTTGAAGATAATCGGGAGAGGGGGATGGCGGGCCATAAAAGAGTTAATTACGCACCGAACTTTAGCAATGCGAGAAAAAGGGCATTCCGACACGGGGAATCAAACCCCGAGCTGCCGCGTGAAAGGCGGCAATGTTAGCCGTTACACCATATCGGATACATAACATTTCTCCCCTCGGAGCCATAGGTACTGAGCCTTGTCCGCTTTGGGGTGCTGAGTTTGGTGGCTGTGACAACCCAGACAGACAGGAGTTCAACCTCAGGTCACCCGACTCGGATCTCTTCGCGAAGGAAGTATGCAAGACGTGCAAGTGTGCGCGATAACTCAATCCAACATATGTGTGAAAGACATAGTGAAAATGATCGACGGTATCAAATAATTACATCTGTGCCCCACTCCTATAATGGCATCAGAGATCCATCTTATCCAGACCAAGGGACCACTATACATCCTTGCTTTGGTCCCAGCAACAATTTCACGTTTCCCTTCGCCAACTGTCCGAGCCTTCTCCAACGCGGTGGCCCGGATTCCCCGTACCATGCCCCTAATCTGAAGAGAATCTGGTACAGCTTCAAGGAAATACCAAAGAGGGGTAATACGTCCAGTCTGGACATTGCACGAGTTTATATAGAACGCTCTAAGGTTGGGGAAGTCGGTGTATGTGAAGAAACGGCAGTCCAGTCCGAGGTACAGCCATTGACTACTCAACACTTAGTAGCACCAGTATAACAATCGATGAACAAGAACTACTATCATACTGTTGTTGAACATTTGAGCTCTACATGCATCTGAATCGGTCTATTTAATGTAGTGTAACAACATTCAGCAGTTCGTGAACGACTTCAAGTGCCAAAGAAAGGTCCTTGAGACGATCGCATCGAAGAACAAGTTTTTGTCATCGCTCCCCTTCATGTCAACTATGACGTGCTCGGGTTAAAATCCGCCGCAGAGCTCCGCTGCCTGAAATACGAGCCAAATTCCGGGGGTCATTCCAAACATCAATATCTGGAGCAGGGGATCTAAGATTGAATAGGATGAAGGGCCTTTACGAGGCCACGAAGCTCCACTGGAATCAATTCATGGGGGTGGGTCTCATATAGTGATGTCAAGGGTTACATTGGCTTACCTTCCCAGCCAAGTCGGGATTTGAAAACGGATGTGAACTGATGACCAACCTTGACTGGTGGAGATGGCTGTAGAGTTCTAATGAGGACATACCCTAGGTGTACTATTGTGAGTAACACGCCTCGGTTTGAGTTGTCCACTGAAGACAAGGAATACCAGAACTCAGAAGATCATAAGAGGGGTGTCACTCGGGCGTGACTGGGCGATGGACACACTGGGCGTCTCCTGCAGCATCCAAGTCTTTCTAGCTATGGTACCCTGAAAGGGGGGTTGCACTTGAAAATATGAAGCGACTATCCCATGCTTGCGATTAAGATAGACATGGAATCAGCCGACAAGACGAGGTCCAGAGAGGACGTAACAAACATGTGATCACTGTAAATTATCATTTATTTTTAGTAGCCAATCATCTAGTAACTTGCAGGCTATATCAGGGCCCGAAGTATGACAGTCTAGGCTGGTCATGATCCTAGTACATTCTTCGACTTTTCGGGCTCCTTAGTGTTCGGACTGAGGTATAATCAATTTGTTTTAGGGTAATTGGATTGGGGCCTTCGGCCGGTACGCTTCAAGTGGTCTCTCGTCAGGAGCTAACAGGGAGGTCGATCGTATTTGTGAGTATGAGTGGAGGGTCTTGCGGATCAAAGGTGCTATCCCGTCCCGGCGAGCAACTGTAATGGCCGTTCGAAACTGGAGGGGACTGGTAGTGCCGTCATTGTTGAATACCCGTCCAGTAATTAGATCTAGTCACGAAGGCTAGACAGGTAAACTGATTGATCTGGGTCCGGAATAAGAATGATTACTGATTGGATGGAATGTCATGTCGAGATTGCGAACATACTGTATAAATATTTGATAGGTAACCGGTGGAGAGCATTGGGAAGGACAGGGAGATTCATGTACTTCTTGCCAGCTCCCGCCATGGGCCATCATTAGCCAGGTGATGGTTGCGGTCGCATGGGATGGCAGATGGCGGTCAATAGCAGCATCAAATTCAATGATGACTGCCCTCCGATGTTGAGCCTGAGGATCATCTCTAAATGCAAACGTGTTGAACTATTTGATTCCGAGGTCAAGGGTCTGGCTGTTCATCGCCGTCGGTAAGTGCAAACCTCCTCGATTCTCGGTAAGCAGTCAAGCAGAACACCTGGGTCCTCGCTTTGCGGGTAGGGTCCCGGAAAGAATGGACGGTTAGACAGGGATATGATTACTAGAGCGCTGAGCTAGGACAAGGTGGTCACTGAACAATGGAGGGGATGTGGAATGGAGGAGGTCTCATTATCTCAAGCAACTGAGGAAGTATGTAGGTGATATGTGATTGGACGAATTCGCATGGGAAATAATAAATGAAAGTGGTATTTGTCAGGGTTCGACTAGGCTCAAGTCTGGTGGGCAATACGAGGGAGAACGGGCGTTATTATTGTAGTGAGTGGAGAGGGGTGGCGGGAGGTGGGCGGCTATCAAGAGAAGAATGGGATGTGTGGCTGTGCTGTCCTGGTTTGGTCTTAGACAGGCTTGAAGGGTATGTACACTCCGTAGCTCACCCTCCACCATGTCCCTCAGCTCAAGGGCGTCCTCCAGCCATGAAATCCACCACAGAGACCTCAAGAACACACGCAGACGCAGTCTTATGACTCTGTTTTCTGCCCGCTCAGTCCCGCCACATCATATTCCGGCTCATCGTATCCGAGAATTTATTTAGTCTCGCCATGGATGACAAACGGAACTTTTTTTTTGAGTTCGCAAGCTTCCTCAAATTTCTCGGATGCCTCTGGTTAGCTTAACTCTACGTTTGGATCGCCTTGACTCAGAGACGATAACCGCTTCAGGCCTCCGATGTTACTGACAATTCGCTGTACCTGCACAATTTGAACATTGTGGGTGGCGATCTCAAAGGGGTACATGGAGATTCAATGTCTTTAGAGATATAAACTCCCTGGTGTAGGCGACTGTATTAATTTCAGATGAAGGGCAGGCGTTATTCGCGGATTGCGGGGTATCGCGGATTTCCACAGCTATTGCGAGACAAAGAAAACACAATGTCACCCATCGCGGGCTCCGCACCATATGCATCTCCGCAGTTTGGTATTCACGTAGAGGGGTCGATCCGATTCACAAAGCATGGGATATCTGATCGTTTGGATGACTATGCTGTGAAGCACGAGCGGTTTACACCCTCTCTACTACAAGTGCCAATCCCCAATCCAGTCGATGGCTGTCAAAAATTCTTCGACAGGAACTAGGCCATAATGATTGGAACGAGATATATGACCGGACGTGAGAACTCATAAAGCCTGCTGAAGGAGCTGACCGAGCGACATCCAGCTTCAGACTCCGTACATAATACCCTCTGGGAACTGCGATCACAATATGCTCATATAAACAGTTCTCTGTTAGTATATCGGTTAGTACACGCGCCTGTCATTTCTATGTCCGCGCGAAAGCGGGGTTCGACTCCCCGACAGAGAGGATCCTTTCCAAGAGAATCTTTTTTGCGACAAACGTAAATTTTTTCGGCGGCTGACATATTCGTAATATACATCGTCAATACGTAGCTCACGTTCCAATTAATTTCTGCTCAGCCCGATCTGAAGATAGACATTAAGAAAACGGATGACATGCCAGGCTTCTAACAACATACCTCCTTTGCTTCGCCCTTCGCGGTCATGTTTGCGTTACCTGTGGCCTTCCCGATAGCAATTTCTGTCTTGCCAATGGCTTTGTCCATCATGCTTGGTTTTCCCTTGACAGGCATTTCCTGCTTTGGCTCTGTGATGCGAACCTGGATAAATGCACCGTGAGCACACTGATGGATGGGTACGAAAAAGAGGGCCTACATCTGTGCCGGAAGTTGCGAAATCAGTGACACCCGCGTGATGATCTGCTGCCCTCTGGGTTGCTCGCACGCTACTGATCCTCGCGTCCTGTTCCTTTGCAAATCGTTCTCTCCCCTCTGCTGTTCCAACCATCCTGTCCTGCTCCGAACCTGTTGTCGAAAGTCGGTCCCTGTGAGCGTCAACTCTGCCGGAAGTGTGAGACCCAAAGTCGGTTGCATCTGTATCACGACCGACGATAGCAGCATCCCGGTGGCGGCCGTGACCATATAATCCATGAACGCTCCCCCTGGTAGTGTCGATCTTCCCACTTTCGACCCGCTGCTGCTCGGAAAGTAGTGCCTGTTGACGATCATGTTGGAGTTGGGATCCGCGGCGCCTTTCCTCCACGATTTGCGGCCCACAGAGTTCTTCCCCTACGAGAACGGACTCCGCCCCACGACCCAGCTCTTTTTCATGGTTTTGCTTCCCTCTACCACCTACACCACGCGGTGTGTATCGCTCTGTGTCAGACTCAAACGTTCGAACGTGCGTGGGTTCAACTGTGTTGTCGGTGGATCGAATGTATGTGACAGGACCAACGGGGATGGAGTCCTCCCATCCTCGATCAGACCACTGTCGAGCATGAATGCCTTTACCAGAATCTGGACCTGTGAGTTTGAAGTCTGTCTCCTTAATAGTGTAACCCGTCTTGCCCGCGTGGTGATTGCTTAGGCCGTAGAAACCGGTCCCCATCTCGGTGCCGTAGCGACGCTCGGTAGTGGGATTGGTCGGGTAATCACTAGAACTCTGAGGTGGCATATAATCTTTGAGATTATGGCGAGCTCGTCCAGCAGGATGACGAGTTGTCTCTGTCGCAGTACTTTCGAAACACTTGTCACTGTAGATGGTTGAATACTGAGGTAAGGCAAATTGGTGCCAAAGAGGTAACATACCGGGAACGTGTCTCATGTGATGAATTCAACGGGAGGGAAGAAGAAGCATTGGCATTGTTAGTTGGCATTGTCGCAATGAAGTTGTGGGTTGTGAACACCATCCCGCCTCTCAGAGGATTCATATAGTGGGCACTGAGACAAATGACGACATGGTGGGCGGAAGTTCCAGCTAAGTAAGTTATCAACAAAGATTAGGGGGTTGTAGTCGACCGGCCCGGGCTTCCATTGGCGTCAATTCATCTAGCCGGAGTCCAATATGTAACGCTGCAGGTCGCAGGACTCGTCTGTCCAATGCAGGCACAGACCAACTGTAAATCATGACATACAGGGGACCTAAATAGGAGGGTAGGTACACTGGTGTCAAGTCGATACGGTTTCCTATCAGGCATTAAACTCATCATTATTGACCAATGTTCACTCCACGAAATGATATCCTTTCTCTCGCTCCACTGCGTCGAACTCCAACTTCAGTAACTCCTTCCCGGATGCGTCCTTAAGTGCACACGACACACTATCACCAGGAACAACGGGACCAACCCCATCCGGTGTTCCGGTCAACAAGAGATCACCCTCCTATCCGTTGAGAATAGAATAAGCGCCGTGCCAAGCAAGAGGAAGGAACCCGAACCTCAAGTGTCATGACGGATGAAACATGTTCAATAAGTTGTGGGATCCTGAAAATCATGTCCGCAGTATTACCATCCTGCTTGATTTTGCCGTTGATCTGCATCACAGTCATTCTTCTGACATTCATAACATTCTGACAGACGTACAGCAAGATTCAATTGCAAATTATGGGCATCGACAATATCCTTCTTGGGTATCCAACCTCTAAAGATTGATGCGTGAGCATCGTTCACAGCTTAGGCCACCTACATACCCTATGGGAGTGAAGGTATCAAATCCTTTCGCTGCCGACCATGGTAGACCCGCCTTGCGCACTTTTTGCTGAAGATTACGAGCCGTCATATCCACTGCCAATGCTAACGGAGCCTCAGCTAAAGGCACATAAATGTAAGGGACCAGCAGCTTACTGTATCCAGCAATATAGGACTCCGCCTGTGAGGCTGGGATGTCACGTCCCATCTTGCCGATAACGAGACCAAGTTCCACTATTCAAGCGCAACATGAACATGGAACGCAACCAGGGTTGGAGCTTGAGGGATGTAAACATACCTTCATGATGTGCCACAATACCCTTTGGGATCTCGAGCTTGCCGCCGGAGGGCAAATAGCTTGAGGTGGGCTTGAGGAAAAAGAAAGGTTCCTTAGGCATCTCGTTCCCGAGTTCCTTTACATGCAGAGCATAATTGCGACCAATGGCCACAATCTAGATGGGTTGGTCGGAGAATAGGATGGACGAAGTTTAAGGATCCGGGTATGTCGCCGATGGTGAGGTGGAGGACAAGCGAAGGGGTTTCGAGTCGGCAGTTATGGATGCAGTATATGCGAAGAGGAACCATTAAAGACGGTCCTTATACAGGAAGAAATAATCATACCTTCTTTCCCGCCCGAACGAAGTTGGAGGCCATGGCTACCTGATCCGGTGAGTTCCTGTTCTAAGGCATGGTCAGCACCTGGAAACTTGGAAGCTTGGAAACACCAAAATGTACTCACAGTTACCCTTGACCTGACCTGACCTTCAAACACAGACAAGTAAGCCCCGAAAAACGACGCGATTCGGAGTTAAGGATGTCGACGAGGCCCACACCATCCGGATCGATACCGCTCCGGTACCCTCGTGGGAATCTGTGATGACCGAATTCGCGATTGTGGGCACGCACAACTCATGTAAGACAAGCTACTGGGCTCTGCAGCCCAGGACTCAATCAAAACAATGTTCGAGTACCTTGTCTACGTCAGTAAGTGTATTCTGGGTCCTGCTTAGTCCCGAGTTATGAATTCAATTACTGATCCACTGACGGCCCACGGAAGTCAATGCTATTCCATTCCAATCGCTCACCATCAGCCAAGCTGATCGGGGTCCAGGAGACAAGAACTTTTTGCCGTGATGTCAGCTTAATCTCTGGAGTTCCCTGGTCAAACCTTCCGAATACCTGGATCATGGATTGTTCTGTAAAGAGGTGGCCCCAGCCAAGATGACCGTTTACAACGGCCGCCTTGGGTCCTGTCAGCACCAAGCAGCCTTGGTTAAGTCTGTCTCTTCGTGTCGAATGATGTGGTGCATTTTCAGAGGTTGATCCCCTTGGCTTACGTTGTTCGGCTCAAACTTCTTGAGTGGTTCATTTTATCATAGCCTATAGATCTCTATCACTTGTTGAAGAATGTCGCTCAATCCTGCAATGCAACCGGGATTGATACTTATGTTTTTCGACATAAGAGTGCCCGCAAGGAAATGGAGCATGACAGAAAGTTTTCGTGTGGAAATGTAGCCAAGAGCGATCACCGAATCAGCGCCAACTCCACAAGCCTTCTTGGCATCTTCCCAGAAGCCAGACCCGAGGAACATGTGTGTTGGGCTTGGCGAACTCATCGCCCAGACTCACTTGGGATGCCTGGCCTTATAAACCTTTCCAGGCCTCCTGCCATTGCCCTTCCCCTCGTTGTCCTTCACCACCCCAAAACCCAACCCGTTTCACTGTTTGTACAGCCTCGGGACGAAGTTGCAGCGGAACCCACAATCGCTTCGCCTTGACAGTCGCCGTCTTCTTTCGTTGTCCGTCGGCCGCATTGCGTGTCCACCCATCAAGCTGTGAGAAGACCTCTGGGGAAGATTAGACATACTTGGACATCCGAACCTCCCACCCGACCCGTCCTATCCTCGGACATATCATACCAGTATTTCGGATAGTACCTCCTCGCGACCCAGATTTGCGGAATGACCAAGAACATACCCACTGAGGAAGAAAAGTATGTCATCAGCAGCTTATATTTCATTGGAGTTTCTCCTTGTCTCCAATTTCGTGGTCCCCTTCCAATCCCTTGGTCGTCCTGTCTCGACGCTAGAGGCTGATCTTGAGAAGCTCCTACGGGAAAGCTCATCAGTATAACCTCATACCCCCTCGATCCCCAGTACAGCTTCAAAAAGCCTTTCTTTCTCACCTCTGGTCTCCATCACAATAAGCGGCTAACGATGATGGTTAGTCCTAACCATGGTCACCTAGGAGCGTCATGGGAGATTGCTATCGTCATCGTCTTCAGTATGTCTCTCCTTGATGCCACTCTTCTCCTTGGTTAACTCCCACTTCGAAGTCATCCTCATAGCTACTCTCTTGGCGGTAACTGTATTCCAGATCCGTCGAAGGCGCAAAAGAAAACAGCGACAAGCAACAGAGGATCCGGAAGGAGGACCCAGAGAGAGGCGGCTCAAACCTAAGACAACTCATAAGAAGGGTGGAGAAAGCCGAACCGATTCCTCGTATTCTGAAGAAACGACTACCGAAGTGCCTGGGGAGCTGAGGTCTGCTGTGGATGCCAAAATCGAAGGTCATATTGATGGTGACGAAGTGCTGGCTAAGGTGCGTCGATGATTCGGAAACCTGTCGCATGAGCCCCAAGCTTCTTGGGAGCCTTTTCCCATATCCTGAACTTCTTTCTGCTTTCGCCAACTGCCTCACCTCATGTCTGGTGCTCCGTTGTTGACTTATCCGTTCATTGTTTAGCCGCCACCAACTGCTCAACCAAAACGATCGAGCAAATCATCATACCACGAGCATATAGCCAAGAAACCACCAAAATA